TGAAGAAAAATGAATTTCAATAATCTGGTAACTTCCAGGCAAAATCCCATGGGAAGCAATTCTGAGGAGAGAGATTTAAACAACAGGTAACGGGAGCACAAGTGCTGGCCATCCCAGAGCAAAGCGTGGGATGGAAGTGCCAAAGAAGCCAAAGAGAAGCTTTTCATCAACTTCAAATTCAGGACAGAAGCGTACAGAGAGTGACAACTGCTGCTCTACTGGGGGCTGCGAAGGTGTCATATGGAAGGGGGAGGACTGCTTCACAGAAGGGGGGTGTAATGAGGAGCATCAAAGGTAGAAGGAACTGTAAGTAGTATGAGATGGATTGAGAATTAGACCACTGCTTGGCAGAGAGGAGAAGGTATGGACAGGCAGATCCCTGAGAAGTTGTGCACCCATCCACAACTGCTTTTATTATAACCTCCCCACTGAGCTTTCTACTTTCTCTGTGCTGGTTTTTATCAGGTCAGTTGGTTTCTTCCTTGTAATCATCCTGTTTGGCCTCTTGGAGTATTAATGCATTTTTCTTCTCTGTAAATCTGATGAATTTTCTGTTTATTCCAAGGATTGTTGTTGTTTTTTAAATGGTAGCAATGCAAGTAGGTTGGAGGTCTCCTCAGGCAGAGCTGTAGGACTCATGGGTGCAGGCTGTCTGTGCCTGCTAGGCTTGAGTCTGGATTGCTAATGATGGCTGTTCAAAATCCAACGTAGTTCCCAATGGGTTGGAAAGTACTTCATGATGCGGCACAGCTACATAATTCCCTTAACGACAGAACCAAAGTATTTCATCAGCACTCGCACATTTTGACTCTGCAGTTTGCAGGTGCAAAGTTTCTCACTGAATGAGAGAGCATTTGTGACAGAGACCAAAACTGGAATGGCTGAGGTAGGTGGGGAGGGGAAGGCCACAAGGATCCTCAGGAGAGGGGTGGCACACACAGAAGCCACAACACATGGGGTTTGTGTTGAAAGCAGATGGCTGAGCACAGAGCCGAAAGGTGATGACGCTCACACAGCCCCGCATGAAGGCAGGATGCAATTAATGCAAAACGTCTGCTTCAATAAATCACTGCAAAAAGCACTGTGCTCAGGGAAGACTGTTGTGGGACAGATGGAGGAGGAGATGCTCCGGTCAGTGGTGTCCATGTGAGTTGCAAGAAGGAAGGAAAGACCAGAGGCTGGAGACGATCAACAAATGTTCCAGATATTGACACCGCCAGCACTTCTGAGAGGAGTGAGCCCAGTGGAGGGCATAGAAGAAGTTCCTCAGGGAGAGCAGCTCATTGCAGCAATCTGGTGTCAGCAACTGCAGGTGATCCAGAGCAGGTGGGAGGGTGGCAGGTGGAGGCCCATGCCCCTGTGGCTGTCCCTTGGTGGGACGGGAGCCAGGTGGCTACTGGCACTGTTGTGCTTGCCAGGCCACCAGGTGTGTTTCTGGTGAGATTCCAGCCTGGTGGTGGGGCAGCTCTTCAGGGCTATCAGTGGTGCTAACAAGGGGGTGAATGACTAACAGCTGAGGTAGGTCCTTGCGCCTGCAGGAGCCAGACCTGCCCACAGCCCTGAGAAGCAGTGCTCAGGCAGGTGGATCTATGCAGTCTGTGTGTCAGCCTTGGTTGGGTTTCACCTGTCTGCACACTCTTCTCCCCAGCCAGGCCCTGGGCAATCTGGGGTGAACCTGAGGATGCCCAGTATCAAAGGGACATCAGGAAGCATGTTTCTGTTTTGTTCTGTTCTTGCATTCTCTCCCACGCATTGTTCCTCCTCTCTGTCTCTCCCCTTCCTTCAACCGAAATCTCCAAGGCCAGCGGTGTGGCCCTGTTCTCCCCGCAGGCATAGCACTGCCTGCAAGCTCTACAGCTGTTGCCTTAATCATTTTATGGGGAAAATTATTCTCTCCTGTGTCTTTTTTGCTTCTTGTTATGTAACTATTTTGTGGTTTGCTTTGCTACAGAGCTGTGTGGCTTGAGGGACAGTGTAAGAAGATGGCTGGAAATATGGCATGCCTCCTGCTCCTGCCTGAGGGTGGGATGAGGAGGAGACTATGGGCTCTGTGGTTCGAGATGGGAAAGAAGAGTAGCAAAGGGGATTAATGAGGCCCAAGAATCTGGCTGCACGGTGAGTGAGGAGCCCAGAGTAGAGGGATCAGAGCAGCACTATTCATGAAGACTCAATGGGTGAGGAATTGGAAATGAGCAGGAGCCCAAAAGGAGGCGGAGGAGGGGTTGGGTTTGTTAGAACAGCAACAGTGGTGTCACAGTAGCCCTGTAGGTAAACCGAGGCAGTGACACTTGGCAAGGTGAGCGATGGTACTGTACTTTGAAGGGGACTGTAAATTAGATAGAGACCCATCACAAATTTTAAACAGCATAAACATAGTCTTCTGAAGCACAATAGAGCTCTACTAAAGGTCAGAGCCCCTTGTCAGCCATGTGCCTCACTGTTTTGCAGGCACCCTGATGGTGACTGGAGCAGCCTGTGCTGCTGAACTGGTTCTTTTTCACTCATCACAGCTTCAGGGGATGTCTTGCAGGAATCTAAGAACAATTCAGGAAAGAGCTGAGCTCTGGGCTGGCTGCACAGAGCTCAGGGAGCTGGGACCATGGCAGGAAATGCACAGACATGGCAGTGTTTGTAGTGCTCAGCCTCTGGACACATCCTGGGGCTTCCTTATGCCTCAAGACTAGCTAACCACTTGAACAAGGAGGGAGCTTTCCTGCTCTTTTTTCGTTCTTTGGATCCTCCCTGGACTCAGCCTGTGCTGGCAGCACTGTGGTTCTGCAGCAGCTTCAGAAACGTCTCTGACAGCCCCAGAGCTGTGAGGGAGCAGCTGCTCTGCATGCAAGAAGAAGCGCTGTGTCTCCTGGGCCTCACTTTAAGTCATGCAAATGATGTTTGGATGTTTCTGAGACTTGAAGTCCCTCCTTTCTCCCACCTTGCACCCCTCCTGACAGCTCCCTGCTCCTGTGCTGGAGGATGTATGCTGGTAGAGAAAAGTACTGCTGTCTTCTCGAGACCCTTCAATAGGTAGAGCAGAATGTTGGGGAACAGATTTGCCGGGCAGAGGGCAGGGAACAGCTCCTGGATGTGTCCCCACACCATCCCAAGGGAGCCAGTACTGAGGGATAAGGAACTGGTTGGTTCCTTTTCATTCTTAGCCCTCATTGAGCAATACTTTACATTTAATACTTTACTTTTTTTTTGAGCAATACATTACAGCCCTACCAGCTCACTGTCCCCTGGGGCACCTCCATCTTCAATGGGAGTGGGCTGGGCATGCTGGGCAGGAGCTGCTGGTACAAAAGTCTGCTCTGTGCCACCAGCAGGTGGCCACCGTCTATGGCAGGGAGGGAGATACAATGAGGGGAAGTGAGCTGTCATTTCCCACTGCCATCGTGGTCATGCATTTAGTGCTGCCATATGAGATGCTCCTTCCGCTTGGAGCTGTTGCTCTGGGGTGTGAGCTGTACAGTGCCTGCGTGGAGCCAGGGAAAGGTGTCCCATGTCCCAACCAAAACTGAGGCAGCATTCCCAGGCTGTCTCCCTGTTTCACCATGCTCATCTCCTGCCTTGTACTCCCTGTGCCCATCTCACTCATCAGCTGATCCCTCAGCTCCAGCAGCCTGCCTTAGGTGCTTCCCTTCTGCACAGGAACTGCTGAACCACTGATTGAGCACCTGGGGAAAGAGCCCGGTCAGCCCTGGTGGCACAGGTGAAGGCAATTCAGCTGTGTGACCAGAAGGGGTGGAGCCTGGCTGCACCTCTCTGAGACCTCATTTCAAGGCTGACTGCTGCTGGGGAAGGATTTCTTTTTGGAGATTCCTCCTTGGTGAAGCTTTCCTCTGTGAATCTGGAATCTTCTGATATGGGTGAGCAATTTTCTTTCCTTCCTTTATAGCACCTTTTTAGTGTGCTGGTCCTTCTGTCATCACACCTCTGTTGTAATGATTTTCTCATTGTATTGATCTGGTCAATTGCTACACCAGTGACATTCAAAGCAGAACTGAGGTTTTCTTTTGGCTCCTCAGCCAGAGAGCTGGAGTCAAGGTGCATCTGGGTTGGGGTCCAGGCCACTGTCTGCAGCAGAACGTGAGATAAGATTGGCACAGTTGTTATTCCAGAGTGGAGCAAGGGTTTCAGTGACATTGGTGCTTCTGTGGTGTTTGCATCCTTCTGCAACTCCTGTCCATGGGGCTGCTCTTCTTTCCTGGGTTCTGCTATGCTCCTTGAGCCCTTGCTTGCTTACACTCCTTTGAGTTTCCTTTGTGCTCCCTTGGGCTAAATTAAACACATCATTTACCTTTATCTGAGCAATAAAGAGAAGTTCATTGCATTATAGAAACACGTGAGTTGGAGGAGATTCTAAAAGGCCATCTAGCCCAACTCTCTCTATTGAACAGGGATGTCTACAGCTGATCAGGTTGCTCAGAGTCCCATCCAGCCTCACCTCGACTGGACCAATCACACCTACTGACAACCTGAATCCTTCACTACCCTTACTGTAAAAACAACTTCTTCCTTTTACCCAGTCTAAGTGTCCCCTTTAAGTTTGAAACCATTTCCCTTTGTCCTATCACCACAGACCCTGCTAAAGAGTTTGTCCCCTTCTTTCTTACACCTCCTTTAGATACTGACAGGCTGCTCTCAGATCTCCCCGGAGCCTTCTCTTCTCTAAGGAGAAGTTGGGCATCCTGAACGTGTCTGACAAAGCTGGTCTCCGCTCTGTGTACCAATACCTTCGCAGGATTCAGCCGTTAATTACCCTGAAATGACAGAGGCTCTTTGCGACGCCGGACCGGCACCTGCCCACAGCGGTGACCGAAGGGCAGCTCGGCGCGGTACCGCCCGGCCGGGGGGGCGCGGGGGCACGGCGGGGGGCGGAGGGCGGGCGGCTCCGCTCCGTTCCGGGCTCCGCTTCTCTGCCGGCCCCGCTGCGTGCGGAGCGAACCTCGGGCGGCGGGGACGGCGGCAGGTTCCCCGGGCGGGCTCTTCCCCGCCCCGCTATGGAGAGCGGGATGCTGTCTCGCACGCAGCAGGAGCTGATCCGGGAGAGCTGGCGGCGGGTAAGCAGCAGCCCAGTGCAGAACGGCATCGTCCTCTTCTCCAGGTGAGCTGGGGCTCGGGAAGCAGCGTGGCTCCGCGCCCGGGGTGCTCGGCCCGGAGGAGCGGAACCCCGGGGCGGCGGGTGGTGCGGGGCTGCCCTGCGCGGTGCCCCGCGTTGCGGCCGGGCAGGAGCTCGCGGAGCCGAGCCGAACTCTGCCGTGCGCGTCTCAGCGTCTTCCCTACGGGCTGCGACGCCGTTGCCGGCGGGTGAGAGGGACTCCGAATGGAACCAACAAAGAGAGAAGATGGGGCCTCTCTCCCGCCGTTGCAGGTTGTTCGATCTGGACCCTGACCTGTTGCCCCTTTTCCAGTACAACTGCAAGCAGTTTGCCAGCCCCCAGGAGTGCCTGGCTGCTCCCGAGTTCCTGGATCACATCCGAAAGGTGAGAGGGGTCGGGGCAATCCGCGGGTGGATTCGGGACCGCCGGGAGTCGATGGGAGCGCGCGGGAGGGCTGCTGTGTCCCCGAGGCGGAGAGGGAGCGGTGCTGAGGCTGCCTCGCGGGAGCTCGCGTACAGGAAGAATTAGGCATAACGCAGCGCAGCCCTTTGGTGAGCCCGGAGGAGCAGCCCTGCTGGGACAGAGTGCAGCCTGTGCTGCCTTCGTAACCCCATAACCTCCATCTTCAAACCAGCCTTTATAACCTCCATCTTTAAAGCGGCGGAGCGCCTGCTCGCCTGGCCTTGTTCCTTGTGAGAGGCTCTTTTCTTGATAGCTGCAGGCTTTCTGCTATTTCCCTGCCGCTGCTTACTGAACAAGCAACGTCCATCTTTATTTCTGCTCTTATTGCCTTAAGCTGAAATATCTCCAGCTAGAGCAAGGAGCTAATTTCCCTCTTGAAATTATAGAGTACGGTTCTATCACCTCATGCCTTTGCTGGGCTTACCATGCCCAGGTTTTAATCTCTCCTAACTTGTTCTGTCTGCTCCCTTCATCCCTCATTAACTCTGTTCTGCTCCCCTCAAAATACTTTAGCCTACCTTAGCATTGTCTCCTATGCTTTTGTACTATCCTGGCAACTTCCAGAGGTTCCACTTTCTCCTCTGGGAAAGGAGGCCAACAGCTCCTCTGCTGTGCTGGGAGGTGGTGGTATCTGCTGGGCTGAGCAGGGTGAGCTAGAGGGGCTGGCCTTGTACAAATGTGGTGCAGCTGCTGTGCTCCCCCAGGTGATGCTGGTGATTGATGCAGCTGTCAGCCACCTAGAGGACTTGCCCTGCCTGGAAGAATACCTCTGCAACCTCGGCAAGAAGCATCAGGCAGTTGGTGTGAAGGTTGAGTCCTTCTCGGTGAGGTGTACTCTCCCATCCCACTATGGCTGTTTGTGCAATCCTTGATGGTTCCAATTCTGCACCCTGTGCTGGGTGCAGTTGGCTGGAGAGGAGGCTGGTGGCTCAGCACAGCCCTGAGCTGCTGGAGATGTTGGCTTGGCCTGGGAGCCCTTGAGCTCCCCTTGTTTCCTGCCTGGAGAGTGAGGGCAGAGGGGAGCAAAGCATTTCAGAGGCTGTTCGGTCTGTAGAAGAGGAAGCTCAGGGGAGGCCTTATTGCTCTCTGCAACTCCCTGAATAGGTGACAAGGTGAAGGTCAGCCTCATCTCCCAGGTTATGGTGATGGGATGAAAGGGAACGGCCTCAAGTTGCGCTGGGGAGGCTGAAGTTGGATATTTGGAAATATTTCTCATCCTGAAAGAGTGATCAGGTACTGGAAATGGGCTGCCCATTCCAGGTGGGAAGTGGTGGAGTCACTGTCCCTGAAGGTGTTCGAGAAGCATGTAGATGTCACACTTAGAGATATGTTGGCATTGGGTTGATGGCTGGACTAGGTGATCTTAGTGGTCTTTCCTAACATTAACTCTGTGATTCTATGATTTCCCACCTGGAGGGAGCGATGGCTTGGTGCACCATTGTCTCTCACCCAAAGTGGTGCGGGAGTGAGGGAAGGGATCTGCTTGTTGTTCCCCAGCACTGAGTTGACACTTCTCTGTTTGGATTGCAGACAGTTGGCGAGTCCTTGCTGTACATGTTGGAGAAGTGCCTAGGTGCTGCCTTCAGCCCAGATGCGAGGGAGGCCTGGATCAAACTCTACAGTGCGGTGGTGAAAGCCATGCAGCGTGGCTGGGAGGTCCTCCCAAAGGGGGACTAGCCCTAGGCCTGGCCCTCTACAGGATGAGCACTCACCCCTCTGCCTCTCTCCACCTGTCTCTCTCTATGCACCAGCCCACCTCCTCCAGCCACGTGTGCTGGGTTCTCTTTGTGATCTCACCTTGCTTTGACACTGCCATGTCTCTGCCTTTCCTGGTGGCCACAGGCTATCTCTCTGTAGCCCAGAGTGTCCAGCACAGCACCACTTCCCAGTGCCAGGTTCCTGTGTGCCAGCACCTGTAGCTGTGCTTTGGCCTTCTGCTGGCTCTCTACCCTCTTCTTGCTGCCCATCCCCATAAAATAGCTGCTGGTGAGGGCCTCTCAAGCCCCACAGCGAGCTCTCATCCTGCTCTCTTCACCCAGCATCACCATGGGCAGTGATCTTGGTGCGCCTCTGCCCTTCTCCTGTGTGAGGCTGGTCACAGTGTAGTGTGTTCCCTGCGAGTGTTTCCAGTGGTGGGAGATCACATTAATACCAAGGTAAGGCTGCTCTCAGTGATGTAGGCTGCTGCCCAGAAGGGTTCCTGAAGACTTGGCCAGTTGATTTTAATGTGTGAGAGTTGGCTGAAGTGCACCAGCAGCAGTGGCTATTTAATGTTTTGTATTGAGAAGAATGAAGCAAATACAAGAAATCATGTCTTAAAATAACAATGAAAGTTGCAATCATGTCATGGCAACGGCTTCTGGAAATGATGCTGGCTCTTGGTCAGGGGAAGAATGGCTGTAATTTTTCTGCTTACGGGGTAGGACCTGGAGTGCTTCCTATCTGCACACAGTGCCCATCTGCAGAGCTTCCTCACCTTGCAGAAATAACTCCGCCGTACCTGAGACACAGTCACCGTGGAGGGGAGAAGGTACACGGCTAACACTGAGCAGGTAGGGCCATGTTAGGGCAGGAGTACAGCACCTGCCAGGAAGCTACCAATGGAATGGCTGGGAGGCAGAACCCACGTGCTCCAAGGGAGCTGAACTTGATCTCGATGGAGAAGGTCATCTTTAAGGGAAGTCATCCCAGGGTAAGGACAAGGAGCTCATCTGCAGCCAGTGCCCTTTTTCATTTCTTCAGTGCAGGAGAAGGCCAGTGTTCAGGGCTGTGATTGTCCCTCCTGTGCTGACCTATCCTCCCTCTGAGCAGGAGGGCAATCCATGAGATGTGTCACCATCCCTGTCCCCTGCCCTGTGGTGCTGGTGGCTGTGCTGAGCACACAGCAAGGACCCTGATTGTGAGGGGAGTGGTGTCAGGGCAGAGCCGTATGTGCCATGCATGCTATCTTCCCCAGGATACCAGCTGTGCTCTTGCAGTCTGATACAGAGTAGGAGAGGCAGGGAATGGGGCAGTTCCTGTTACAGCCCTGATCTGAGGCATCAGCACCACAGGCAGGAACGTTCTGAACCTGCGTGGCATATAGCCGCATGTGTGAGGAATTGAGTGTGTGCTACTGCAAGAAATGGTCCCTTTGTCCTTTAGCTTCCACTCCTTTTTGTGCCATGTTTTGTGTAATTCCTAGAGGAAACAAACTAGTCTGTGTGCCTCTTATACCCAGGTGTACTGTTTAATAAAGAACAATCGAGAGTCTCTGCCCTTTTGGGTGCCTGTTTATTTTGAGAGGCCTAAGCAAGCTTAACAAAGGATGACAGAGGAGTTTGCTGGGCTAGATTTAAATGTTCCAGTTCTTCACCTAATCTGACATCCCTTACCCTATACCAGCCTTTCTGAGGTAACACCACTGGGTGCTCCTCTTCCCCCTGCACCTTTTCTGCTCCTGCATCTTCCCCTTACCCCTGAAGTGCTTCCAGCCCAGATAGCTCTGCCTTTTTTGACCTGCTGTGCTGCTGCCACAGTGCCATAGGCTGGATACAAAAGGGACAGACAGTGCTTGCCTTTGGAGAGGGTCTGTAGCTGGGCAGAGGGTGACAATGGCTGTCACTACCAGACAGGAGCAACGCGCAGAGGTGATGACTGCAGGCAGCAGGTGGGTGAAGTCATTTTATTCAAGGCACGGTCATAGCGATAAATAACAAGAAGGTACAGACCTCTGGCACATTCCTACAGTGTGGCAAACAAGGGCAATCCAAGCCTCAGCTCCGCAGGACTCAGTGCCACTCGCAGGCACTTGTGTCCCCCCAGAAAGGGAGCATCAAGTCATTGGATGGGGCCACCAGCATCTTACCAGCCCCAAGATGAGTGGCTGCAGGACATCGGTGTAGGGAGCTGGGATTTCCCCTCAGAGTCACTTCTGGTTGCCACAGCCACCACTTGGGCATGTAGAAGCCCGGGAGCAGCAGGGCTGCCAGCCTTGAGAGCTGGGACCTCCAACTCACTGCTGGGTGCCCCAGGATTTACACACTGTGCCCCCACTCCCAACAGCTTCAGTAATGCTGGGCAGGGGAAGTGGCACAGGGCATCCCTGCAGTGCTGTTCTCTGGAGTCAGAACCCTCCATCGCCCCTGGGCAGAGCAAGGACTGGGGCAGGGCACCCTCCCAGAAGTGCAATGCAAATGGCCCCCTAGCAAGGGAAAGACCCAGATGAGCTCTCTCACATCCCACTACAGTCTTGGGCACCACCCATGGCAGGCACCAGTTTCAGTCCCTATCTCTACAGCATTGCACCAGAGTGGGGAGAAACTGTCTGAACACTGCCTCATTCCTGAGCAACTGGCAACTACAGGAGGATGACTCATGGGAAGAGGCAGGATTTCAAGAGCCTCACCTCTGCATTTTCAGAAGGTAGCAGATGGGTTGATCCCCCACTGGCACCATAACCATTCTGCTATCAGCTGCCTGCTGTGGCTTTACCCCAGCAGGAAACCACGCAGGCACAACAGAACTGTGTGCGCTCGCCCTGTGGGAGCAAGGCTGGGAGTGCAATACCTGCTCCTGCATCCAGGGCCCAAAAAGCCCAAGGATGCTGCCTGGGCAGGAGCAGGTGGTGTGCACACACCCAGTGCAGCAGCATTCGTGCTCCAGAGGCTCCTGGACAACCCAGGGAGTGCTGCCAGCCCCCTGTTGCTATTGCAATGGGATGGAACTGTGCGGATCCCCACAGGCAGCCCCAAGGGGAGTGAGGGGAGCGTGGGCTGCAAGAGTGGGAGGATGGGAGCCACCAGTGAAAGGCAGCTGTTGTCATGGCCACAAAATACACTTGTCCCTGAAGACCTGAGGGCACAAGCAGACTGCAGCAGCAGAGGGAGGGCACAAAGAGGGCAAGCCCTGCCAGGACAGTGCTCTCAGCACTACATGGGCTGGGGAGGACAGCACCCAGGGCCATGGGAGGCAGCAGGATGGCTGCAGCAATGGATGGGCAAGCTAAGTTTTGTCATGGCAGAGAGGATGTGTGACCAGAGGCAGGGCCTCCCTCCTCCCCTTGCAGTACAGTCTTTCAGGGAGACCTTAACCCAAAACCCTGCAACCTCTCCTCCCCATCCCAGACTGGATGTGGCAGATGGGGCTGCGGGGGTGCAGGGTGGCCAAGCCTGTCTGCAGTGGCAAGGCCACGCTGCCTTGCATGGGCTGAGGTCCCTCCCTCACTTAAGTCCTGATGCCCCCCTGCTCCAAAATCAGCTACGTGTGGGTCCATCAGCAAGGTGGGTGCCCACTGGTGTTGGCTCTCACCCTGGGAGCAAGATGCTCACTGGTAGCGGGGCTGGCTCTCCATCAGGGGGCCGGTCCTGTACTCGCCTTCCACCGTCTCCAGCTCTGTCTCAAAGTTTTGCAGACCACAGTCCTCCCCATCCTCTACCAGCTCCAGGTGGTTGCCCATGGTGCCATAAGACTGGTGTGCTGGGGAAGCTGCCGGTGTCAGGCTCAGCTCGGGCTCCTGCAGTACTGTGGCCACGAAGAGCTGCCCCAGGGGCAGTGAGGTCAGGGATCAGAGGCTGGATGTAAGGGGATGCTGTCCCAGGCTGGGAGTGAGCTGGGGGCCCACAGCAGGGTTAGGGAGATGTACTCACATTGGAGTTGGGAGTGGAGGAGACGCTGCTCCGCTCGGCATCAGTGAAGGTACCCTCGGACTGATCAGACATCTGCAGAGGGGAGACAGGAGGAAGCCGCACAGGGGCAAGGGGAAAAGCTTTGGGACACTCCAGACAGAGCAACATCCCTCACTGAGGCTGGGTCCAAATCCCAGCCAAAATAGGATTCACCCAAGTGAGCTAGAAATGCTGGCCATGACCCTCCAACCACAGCACCACCCAGCGCTGATGTCCGGAAATGGGGAGCTCCTGCATGGGTACCAAAGAGCTGACTGCCAGAGCCAGGACTGATCCCTGCCCTTGTTCTGATCCAGGTGTAGCCAAACTCTCTGACTCTATACTGCAAATGCACCCAAGCAAAGCACAGAGTGGGAGATGGGAAGCAGCCGCCCCTGCTCACCTGGTAGCTGGATGGTTTCCGTGGCTGTAGCTTCTTCAAGCAGAGGCCAAAGAAGGAGAAGACAATGCAGGAGAGGAGGACCACAAAGGTAAAGAGGGTGACAGGGCGGGTGGGACCTAGGGCAGAGACATGAGGTCAACACGTGAACCTCCAAGGACCTGCTGTACACCTAACTGAGCCTCAGGGTGGTGTATGCTGGGGGTGCTCTGAGCTCTCATCCCCCTCTTCCAAACACTAACTGATACTCCTGCATCTCTCAGGTCTTCATCATGTCTTCCCATCCCTCTTCCCACTCCCTACATTGTGTCTAACTCAGAGGTGACACCATCATCCCTCAAGGGTGCAGCTCATCCCCCAGAACTTCAGACTGGTGACCCTGAGAAGTGGCAAGGGGCAGTCCCAAGCTGTCCCTACCAAGGCGCAGGACGGAGAAGAAGAGCAGCCAGAACATGCAGAGGATGGGGGCCACCACAACTTGGCTGATGGCGGCCACATGGAGCCGCTGGTTCAGCTTGGTGGGGATATACACATAGTAGATGTTGTATCGGTCCACCATGTGCTTGAGCAGCATGTAGAGCAAACCTGTTGGAAAGACAGGGGATCTTTGGTGGCTGTTCCTTCCTTTCATGGGAAGTCTCCACACTGCTACTGACAGCTGGGACAAGCTGTTCTCAGCATGGATGGGGACACAGTGGCGCCATACTCACCAAAGGGGACAATGATGGGGCAGGTGATGCTGTAGGTCATGACAACAGAGAAGATGCAGCAGGTCCACGCGTACTCCAACCCAAATTGGAACTGGTAAGCTTGGCTCTGAGACACAACCAACAACACTGTTACTGCCTTTGCCTCTCCAGGTGCACAGGATCACCTGTGTATTCAGAATAAGCCGGGGCCATGTACCCGCTTGATGTGGAGCCGCTCAGGCTCTGACTTGGCGAGGCAGAGCCGGGTGGTATAGACAAAGAGGCCAGGGATGCGCAGCAGCTCCATGGCTGTCCCAATCAGGCTGGAGGTGACAACGTAGTTGACGAAGAAAGCGCCATTGTCTGGGAGGAAAACACACCTGCCCCACGGACAGGGAGGGTGAGAGGGCAGCAGAGTTGGCACTGGGCTCTGCTCTGCAGGCTCTCAAGTTTTGGGGAGAAGGCTTTTACTCACTGGAACTTGATGTCAGCCTGGTCCAGAAAGTGGGTGTCAAAGAGCCAACGGAAGAAGAGATCCAAGCTAGGAGAAACAAAGGGGCAGCTCAGGAAGGGGACACAGAGCAGCGTGGGGGACATAGAGCCTGCACCTGCCTTGCCTTGCCCTGGGCTCAAATCACACTTACTGGAGCCAAGACTATGCAGATACCTGACCTGGTCCTTCTGGGATCTGCTGAAGGACTCAACACAAGACAGGCACCAATAGCAACTTAGGCTAGCTGTGACAGTCTGGGACAGATCTTCACCTACTTTATGGGGTGTATTTTCTGTCTGTGCCCATCTGGGTGCAGCGTGGCATCACTAAAGCACGAGCCTTTTCCTTCCCAGGGACAGCCATGTGTCATCTGTGATGGAAGCAGCTCCTGTCCCTCAGCCCTCTCAGGCTCACTTGTGGGGAGAAGACAACTCCAGTGTGATGCCCAGGCTGCAGGTTGGTCTGTACCTGGTCAGTCCCAGTGAGGGCAAGATGATGACCATGAACACCAGGAAGAAGAAACACTTGTGCATGGTAAGCTGGTTCTCACTTGACCTGGGGAAAGGGAAGAAAAAGAGAACTTTGCACTCCTTGTGAGTGATCAGAATCATAATCACCAAGGTTGGATCACCAGTCCAGGATCCAGGACAGGATCACTCAGTCCAACCATCCACCTATCACAAATAGTTCTCACTAAACCATGTCCCTTATCACAACGTCCAAACATTCCTTGAACACCTCCAGGGTCAGTGACTCCACCACCTCTCTGGGCAGCCCATTCCAGTGCCTGACCACTCTTTCAGAGAAGTAGTATTTCCTAACATCCAGCCTGAATCTCCCCTGGTGCAGCTTGAAGCCATTCCCTCTAGTCCTATCATTGGTTACATGAGAGAAGAGGCCAACCCCCAGCTCACTACAACCTCCCTTCAGGTAGATACAGAGAATAATAAGGTCTCCTCTGAGCCTCCTCTTTTCCGGACTGAACAATCCCAGCTCCTTCAGCCACTCCTCATAAGCCCTGTGCT